GGTTTTGACATAGACTTGGGACCCCAACATGTGAAGCAGCTGAGGCAAAAAAATGATAAAAGATGGTGTACATGGCAAATAACAGGTGTTGGATGTTCTCCCTTAAGTTCTCATGGGCACCTTCCTAGTGAAGTATTGAATGAGGTTCCTGAGGACCTTAATCACAGGCAAAAGGTAGGAAAAAAAACAAAGACATTTGCACAATCCAAGAAAGTCTGTCTTGGAAAGAAGTTTCCATCTATGGAGGTAATTAGAGAAGTTGCTGAGATCATGAAGACAGAACTCGCCCTATGACTTCTTACTCATCCCTGCTGCACTGGGGCATGAGAGCAGTGGTGAGCTTCCATACAATAAATATTCTATATATGTATAATGCTGAGAAATTTGAAATGTTGGTTTATTCTGAAAAGTACTAAAAATTGTACTTCCCTATCCATCAGATCTTCCTGATATGCAAATTAAGTTATAATTTCTTACTTGAGGTGAAGAAGGATTAAAGGAACATTGGTACAAACAATACCCCCTGACATGGCTCAGCTGAGGACTGAGGAGCTGGGTTGATTTTCCATTGCAGCATTTCTAGTCAGGTCCCAGATGGTGACACATGAGCAGAGACCCTCTTGTCAGTACAGAGGTGATGGAATCACTGCAGCCTGGATGTCAGAATTCACTGAGTTCAGTTAAACTGATAGGCTACAAGCCTAGAAATTAAAGTGTGTGTGACAGGATCACAGTCACAATTTAAACACTCTAAAGGCAGTTTGAAATGAAAAATGTATTGAGTGTAAAAAGAGTATTAACAAACCTTGACAAAATAGGTTAATCAGGCTGCAGAGTTTTTTCTCTTTCCTTCTAATCTATAAATAGAGTTTTTCCTCTGTGATTATGTCAGCCTTAGCTCAAGTGTCTTGAAGGACATGTATTGATCCTTATGTTAACTAATATAGTTGCTCATCTAACTATAATGTTAAGTAAATATTTGCAGTCATATAGATAACCCATCATATGACTTGATATATTCATTATTTAGACAAAATGGATTTTACTTACAGATCAGGTGATGAGTTAAAAGCTATCTGCAGTATCAAGTTGTTCAAGCTTTATCATAAGTAAAAACTAAAGTTTTAAATTCAGGGAGGTGTTTTGACATCGTGGGGGATTTCTCTTTAAAAATGTGTTTCAAATATCAGTCATGATGAAACATCATCTGTATGTGACCTTCAGAAGGTTATGATGAAGAAAAGACTTTTAGGCTGTTTTGGTAACAAGAGTATCACCAGCAATGGCAAAACAGGACAGACTGAACTTATAAACATTACATCAGCCCTGTGCTAGAGATAACATGTTTAGTAAACTTCTCAAAATGAGCTGAGACCACGAGTCATCTCATTGTGATCAGCACTAGGACTATTTCCTGCTAAGACTGGCTAACAGACTGGTATATTACTGCTTGCCCAAAATATTAAACTTACAAAGTGAAGCTGTCTTTATTTTGTGTAAATAAGTACAAGTGTTCTCTCCTGGAAGGACAAAAAGGTTGCCAGCAAATACAAGTACTGGAAAATACCAGCGTGTTAATGATAAGGACATTTGAAGTTCATCTGTTTTTAAGGAAATCTTATTATTATATTGATAAATTTAAAAAAATATACCTTTCAGTCTTTCCAAACAACTATGTTTATGTTTTTAATTCAGTAAAACTGATCTTCAATATTCAAATAGGTTCTCCTATGCCACAGGATGTTTAACTTTTGGAAGTTCAAAATGCACTTGACTTAGTACTCTATGAAATGGGATAGAAATGTGCTCAGGTTTTGCTGTGCTTTTCATTGTCTTCTCAGAGATTAGTTCATTTTTTGGCATTTTCCAAGTCCACCGAATTGGGAGGGAGAAATAAATGTGTAAAACTAGGTCAGAGCACTTCCCTGCATTTCCAGAAGGGAAAAAGTGGAATTGTTTAATGGTATTTTTGGAAAAAAAATTCTAAGTATTAAAATATTCCATATATATTTAGGCTCATTTTCAGAGGACACTTCTGTGGTAACACAAGTGACATTTTTAATATGCCTTTCCCTTGCTAAGCCTTCTTAGCAAAATCAAATGTCATTTGTTTTCTCAAAAGCTAAAGCCATATTTCACATGTCAGCTGTACAAAGATGCTACTGAACAAAATTACAGGCAAGACATTTAAATTCTGCTGCTGCTGGAATTTCTGTCATCTCTCTTTCTGATGCAGTGCACAGCAGCTCTCTGTGGTGACAGCAGAACTGGTTCCATTATGCTGCAAAGTAAATTAATATTTTGTGTGAAGGCTCAGGTCAAAATAAAAATAGTTGATGGCTTGTTGTGTGCAGAAGTGACACTGTTACATGATTAGGAAGTACTGCAGCATATAAGTGGAAACCTGAACACATTTATTTTCAAATTTCAATTGTGTCATTTTTGAAACTATTTATTTTTAGGATCAGCATTATTAGCATTTCTTGGGTTACAAGAGAATCCCATCTACCCAAAGAGCAGATGACCTTTTCTAGTGGTGTATGCTGAATATGTTAAATATTATAATTGATTTCAAATAAAGAAATGGGTCATATTATTTATATGCAACATTAAAATTTTAATGACCTTCAAAGAAAATAATGTCTAGTTTTGCATGACAATCCTTGACAGTTATCAGTATTTTGTCTATCTTAGGGGCTGCAAATTTGTCCAAAGTTTCAGATAAATATCTTTGAAAGACAGATGAGCTAAAAGCAAGATAGTTACTTTTATATCCCACAGCAGAACTCTTCAGCGTTTTTGGAAATGTCACTGATATTTAGGAAGTTTCCCAATTAATTTTAAAGTGTTGTAAGTAAAATCCTTTCTTCCCTAGGACTCCATGAGTCAGTTTTTATTTCAGTATCTATTTCTACTTGAGAAGAAGCATTAAAGAAAATACATTTGCCAGAATTACTTAGAAGAAAGGCAAGCTAAATTTAACGGTTTGAATTTGCACTTAAATCCAAGTATGAGGATGGTCCTCCTTTAAATTAAAGTTTAAATTAGAGGAGAGCAGTATTTAGTCATGACCTGTTGTTATGGATTCTGTAAATGTTGAGCAATTAAATTTTTGTCTCAAATTCTTATATGGCTGTAGCAAATGGAGGCAGGTGCTGTTTGTGTGCAATCACAGCAATTCAAATCTGCCTGCACTCACTTTCCTCGGTCAGCAGTGAAAAAAAGGGATCCGTACAGAAGAAACATTTCCCTCCTCTTTCCTTACTCTCTAGTTGCTACAAATACTTCACTTAAGAGTAAATAATTTGAACTGTATAGCCTTATAAAATGCCTTTTAAATCATTCTATTGCCAAAATCTTGTTTGGAAAATGTTGTCAATTTGTCAAGAAAGTTGTTTGGCATAATGAAAATGGGACACTTGTTTCCTCAGGGGTACATTTTCTGTATCTGTGGGATTTATTTACTTGCAGTGAAAAAAAAAATCACAATTGTCTTCCGTGTTTCTAAACATCAATTAATTATTTGAATTCCTTTGTGTATGTACAAAGTAGTATTTCTCACAAAAAGCTAGACAAAAAACCCGAGCAAACAAGCAAAAAACCAAACAAAATAAAAGCCCTTTTCCCATTAAAAGAATAGGAAGATAGCAGCATCATTTTTCCCCCCTGCAACTAAGAATTATTAACAAGCAGAAATATAGGAATATTGCCCTGGGTTTGTAGCCCAGCTCCTTTCTATGTTACTCTGATCCACGTTGGCACAAAGGACTATACAGCCATAAAGCTTTAAAGTTGTTCCACATGGATATTGCAATTAAGATTGTACTTATCTGGCTGCTGATATGATTTGAAATCTGTTCTTCTTCTGTTTTGAAGTTCAAAGAAATAATGCAATAGTCCTGCGGTAAATCTGTTCAGGAAAAAGACTTCACAATTTCAGTCACAAAGTTAAAAATTTGTGGCATCAAAACCTGCATTGCTGACTCTGAAAAAAAGACATCTCTCTTCTGCAGAGGTTGACCATTTGTCCAAAATTAAGCAAAAATATATATTGTATGTTGCTTCCAAATGCACCTGCATGTGATATCCACACTGTTCTCACAGTGCATGCGTTTAATTAGTTACAGATACAGTGCTAGCTTGAATGGCAGTCCTTACAATATTCATTTATTTAATTAAACTTTCTATTTAATGCAATATATTTATATTGCAAATCCTATCATATCACTAAATCCATTTTCTGCTGCTAGATTTGCATTTAGTTCAGGATTTGAATCATGCTCAACCTCATTGTTCCAAGTAATGGAATTTATTAGAATGGATCCACACACAGTTCTGCACGTGATGAAAACAGGAGGATCAGAAAGCTGAAGTGCAAAGTCAAAAATGAAGGAAAATAAGACTGACAGTTTTGCATGACTCTATTTTGGAAGGCCAATGTGTTTCCAAGGCCTTCTTTTCAAAAAGTACCACTGACCTTTCCCACAGTGCTGAGCAGGTCTGTTGCAATTTCTTATTAATCAGAATAAGTCAAAAAAACATGCTCTGTACATTTACAGAGCTGATATCAAACTCCTTCAGTAATTTAAAAGAAAATTAATATCTTCTGTTCTCAGAACTGTTGTGGCTTCCTTTTCCTATTTCCTACACTAAGATGAGGCAAACTGTCCCAGAATTTGCATTCAGTTACACTCAGTGTGCTCAAAAACCCCTCTAACATAATTACAACTCTAATAATCCTTCACCTGCCACCTCAGTTTCTTCATGTGAGAGGTTTTTGCCATTTGATGTTACAAATGGCTTCATAAAGTAGTAAGAAGATGAAAAAAAATCTTTAAAAATCATCTAGAAATCGATTCTTTCACTTAGTGAGAAAAGGGACTAAAAATGAATTGAATGATCTTTTAAGGTGTTCTTAAACCAAAAGGATGTAATTTAGGAACAAATTAAATAGCGAGCAGATATTTTCCTGTAACTAAAAATTACCTTCTTATTTCCAGGTGTGTGATTTAAGGTTGAAGAGAATTTTCCAGCTACTTGTCTTGTGCATTACTGAAACATAAGTGTAAGTAAAAACAACTTAATCATATATATTTGTTCATCCATTAGAAAATATGTATTAGATAGAACACAACACGTGCATAACTTAAAAAAAATGTTTACTAGTAATTTCTTACTCTACCCCAAAATACACTAGCGGCCTTGTTATATCCCAGGATTACAAATACTGATAAAATTATTTTCTTGCTCCGCCTTCCCAACTTTCCCACAATTATCTAATAATTTAATGCGCTATTTGGACTAAAATATATTAAGATTATTTTGCATTGTGAATATTTACCTTTGAATATCATTCATATTAAATCATTCCATTTTAAAAGCTACTTAAAATTAACTTTCCTGACATGTACTCCGAACTCCAATCCACAATTCTTGTTGAAATAAGGTCCCCACAGACCCAGCCAGTAACCCCCACTGAAATCCCACCTGATCACCTGTGTCACTGCATGATGCGATCCCAAGAAACGAGGTTTTCTCAGTGAGCTTAGTGGGTCTTTGCTCTGGGATTTATAAAATGCAATAAAAAATGACAAAAAACACAAATGCAAATATATTTTAAAATATAATATTAGCATTGTCAACACGAAAGACTTTATTTACTGCACAGAGAAGAAAATATTCAGAATAGTGTAGGTTGTTTCTGGGAATGCATGAAAAAGTTTCAACAACTAACACACAGTGTTTCTTGGCAAAATAGCCCCGTGCATGATGCTGAAGTGAAATGGGTTTTGCTCATTCTTGTAAAAGAAGGTCATTACCTGCTATTGTGACTGCTCCTTTCGGATTACCTGTCTCTGTCTCTGTACAAGTCAAACAATAAATAAAGGTAGTCTGTTAATATAGATTAGAGGTTAAACTGTTATTTATTGTCACCTTTTATGGAGAGATTCTATAAAGGTATAAAGGTTGTTATTGACCTTCCCTGCCTACAAGCTAAGAGTCAGGTATTTATCCCAGGCAATCCATCTGCAATGAAAAAAATTACAGTCTTCCTGAGGAGGCACAGGTAGCAACTGAGCTGCAGTGATAAATCCTGATGAATGAGAGTTCACAAATTCACATCAGGTTATGTCTCTGAGCATATGAGATGAAGAAATAGTTTAGAAACCACAGATATCACCCTGCAATTTTTGAAGTGTTCTTTTAAACATCCTCTGGGATTTGATAGAGTTGAGCATGAGAAAAGTATACAGCATATTTTCATTCCTTTGAGTTTATGTAGTACAGAAAGCTATAAAATAAACAAGGGCAACAACAAAATTAGCATTCTCTTTCATGTGTTCCTTGAAATTGAAATGGTTGAAGAAAAACTCAATGTAACAGCCACCCACTTACTGTGCCTTAATCACATTACCAGCGTCCCCTTAAACTGGTTTGTGATGGTACTTCTGCAGTGCATCCTGCATCAGAACACACCTCAGAATCAGCCTGCAAAGGCTGCTGTAACCTTGGAGCCATGCAAGAGCCTCCTGAGTGCAGAGTATGGAAGGCTCCTGCTACAGGGAATAGAAATTCCTTATGTGAACATCCCAAATTGTGAGGGTGTCAGAAATCAGAGTAAGCCTCCCATAATTCTAAGAATGGAGAAGGGAGAAAGAAAACGAAGATCTCATAAATATTTTCTTTTCTCATTTATGAAGCAGCCACAGTCTTCTGCTTCCTCACCCACTCTGTCTTACGAGCTGAGCCCTATGAAACTGTGACTGTTTGCAAAGATTTAAAAGCCACTTCCTATGCAGTCCTCCAATTTTGCCCTGTTCTCACTTCAGCTGTGACCACACCACAAGGTTACAGCAGAAGCAAATGAACCATAATGAAATTTGAAGAAGAAATTATATCTATCCAAGACATGGCTTTTTTTCCTGTCCCAGCTTGTCAAAGTGTTGGCTGAGTAAGCAGCAAAGAAATCTTATGGGATCCAGCTGGCTAAGTCCTGGTGGTATTTCATCATCACAGCTAAGCCAGAGTGGGGAGGGGAGAGCTCTGCAGCCAGGTGTGTTAGAGCTGTGCTAGAAGCTGTGGCAAAGAAACTGTCTGACACTGCTTCTGCATTGTCATTGCAAAGGGTCACACGACTGCCTGGTCCTAAACAATCTGCTCACACTGACAGAGGCAAGACCTCAGTTGTTGAATTATTGCATCTTCCTCGTTTCAAAAGCAAAATACTTAGACAAATTCCAATATTTTAAATGCTTGAAGAAGTAAGGTCATGATTCGTTTTCCAGCTGATATCTCCGAATTCTGCTGTGTGTAACTACTGAAGTTCTTCTCTGGTTAGTTTAAAATATTCATTTATTCTTCAGAGCAAACCCCAAATTCTCAAATACATTAAATAAGACAGAGAAGGAAGTCCTTATCAAGTGCTTGCTTACAAATATTATTACAAAAACCATAGGAAAACCATCCAGGAAACATCATAAGGAAAGGAAGAAATTGTAGCAGAAAAATAAAATAACTACATTTTCCAGAAACTTCTAAAATTTGCAGAATAAATTTTTCCCTGTGGGGATGGTGAGGACCTGGCACAAGTTGCCCAGAGAAGCTGTGGCTGCCCCTGGATCCCTGGAAGTGCCCAAGGCCAGGCTGGACAGGGCTTGGAGCAGCCTGGGATGGTGGAAAGTGTCCCTGCCCATGGCAGGGGAGTGGAACAAAATGATCTTTAAGGTCCCTTCAAACCCAGCCCACTCTGTGATTCACTCTAAGTTCTCAGGAGAGTGTTAATCTGGAAAAAAATGCAGTCAGTAGCCTAGATCTGACTGCACTAGCCACAGTCCTGGAGATAATATAAGGTGGGGGAAATGTGAGATAAGACTTCAGCTCCTCAACAGCATTTTACTGGTATATTCCTGCTAACAACCCTGCTCCTCAAAGTTTCTTAAGGTTGATGGTGTTGCTCTCCTTGCAGCACATACTCCAATTTGCAAAAATGTCCACACATTGGTTTCAGTAGTCACTATTTTTCGAGACAAAAGTGTTTTGTTTGCATATGGGTTGTTATGAAATGTGCCTTGCTTTTCATTCTTCTAACTGCCTGCTTGGGAAATCTGTAATTTTAATGGCCAAAGCTTTTCTTTTTCCCTTCCTAGTCTTGGAAAAGACCAAAATCTCACTGCTTGCACAGCTATCCTCATGAAAGTGGAGTGAATACAGTCCAGTGAACACTTAAAAAATCTGTTCCAAAATGCTTCCATTTACTGGTGGCACCATCAAGGCTCAGACAAACCAGTAACTGGAACTGCTAATTGTTAATAATAATATGTTACTCAGATTTGATTCCTTTTGAAAGCAATTGAATGGCTTGTTCCTAGGCCTATTAACCAGGTTGTCCTTCACATCATGAACTGTTTGCACTGTCCAAAAATTTTAATTATCTGACAGGTGTACAGAGCTCTATTTAAAGTGACTTTATGTCACTTCCCAGCTGCTGTATCCTGTAGCCCCAGGGTTACCTGTGACAGACTCATTAATCGGGCAGCTCTACAGAGACGAGGAGGGAATGCTCCAGTGACTCACAATTCAGCTTCACCTTAGACTGAAGTACTTTAGTAGGTGGAAATTTAAATTCTTTTCTGCACCAGCTGTAATATTTTACTTGCTCATTTTCATGTTGCCTATTTGCAGCCAAGTAAAATCAAATTTAGGGAGCTTTTAAACCAAAATTTGAACTTATGTATTCAAAAACCTCTAGAGGTGTGCTACATAGAATATTAAAGATGCTTTGTTGCTGCCAATTCTTCTTCCCAGCAGCAAGGAAAGAGGGATTTAATCAAACAAGAGTGCCTAGGCTAAGTGGTAAATCATGCAACACTTTTCAAAAGTGAGCAAAGCCAGCATGGTTAGGCACGGCAGACTCTACACCCAAAGTATTTTAAATGTATTTTATTACACCAGCAGTTGACAATAAATCCTTGTTAATGTGATCAGTGTTAATGAACTCTGACATTAAAGTTGCTTCTGGCAGCTTTTTCAAAAAGTGACCAGGCCAGGCTGCCCAGTAGTGTTCAACAGCTGATAGACCTTTGTGTCAGAGAAACTGGTAAGAGAAAGGTAATAAAACAACTTTGCATCAATCATTTTGGTAAAGTATTTTGACCTTCTTATTTTGGAATGACTATGTGGTACTTTTATTTTTCAGTGGTACAGTAATCAAAACCAAACTTGTAACAGTTAAAAGATGGCCTTCCTGAGAGCCAACCAAATGAGTAGCTTATAAAACACTAAATATCAGAGAACTGATGAATTTTTGCATCACCAAATGTTGATTTGCAAGAGAGGCTGGGATTTGTTATATGTACACAATGCACATTCCCCTGATGAGATATGATGATTTAAGTAAGTCGGAGTAGGATTTTACACTTCCAGATTCCTTTCTTTGTGATTCTTTTAAGCACTTCTTACTCATTTATACCACAAGTTCTTGCTAGAGGAGAAAGCTATAAAAAGCAGGCACAGAAGCAATATAACCTAGGTGTCATAAAAAGCTTGGGCAGTTAAATGTCATCATTTCTCCAGAAAATAAATGCTCTCATGACTCTCAGTGGAGCCCCATTGATTCCTTTAAATGCTAAGGTGGGGTCAGGATGAGAACAGAGCAGCAAGACCAAAATGATGCTAAAGTTCAGTGATCAACTGTTGGTATCAACCAAGGTACCAAAGACCCCAAGTTATGATCAGATGATAAGGTGTAAAAGCCACTTATGTAAATTACTAAGGGATATGTACCAGACCAAAGTCATTATTACAGCAGATCCCTTTTATTCTGTGATCTTATTCTCTGTACTTTCTTATTTCCTTGATTTTAGAGCCACACAGAGATTTTTACTGTTCAGTTGCTGAAATAACACTGTGCTTTAACCCTTCAAGGCCAAACTTTTGGCTGCATTCAAATTTTCACTAAGAAAAATTTTGTACTTCTGATTGAATAACATTTTTGTGCTCTCATGGGTTTAGTTCAGAGACAGCTCCTTAGGATCCCTCTAGGTCTCTTTCTGAGTAACCTCTGCA